TTTTTTTCCGCTACGCTATACTATGGCCGCGCTGTCGTCCTTTAATTAATTAGCACGGAAGCAGCAGGAAAAGGCAGCTGCCAAGCGGTACACGGGACAACTAACTGATGGGTGAAATGGAGAGAATAGAAGGAAGATGAGAGGAGAGAAACACGCGCGCGAATAGATAAGAGGATAAGGACGTTGTTACCGAAACGTTAGTCCCGAATCGGACTGGACATCGGACGTTCAGCTGATATGCATACAGTTTCGCATGTCCCCAAAACATCCAACGACGAAAAATTAGCAAATGCTTACAATGTGGATATTAACTACTACCATTACCGCTATCACTCTTACGTTAAACTATTATTCTATGCATCTCCGCATGCGTGTTGCGCGCGTGTTTATTTAGCTACACCGTGTGTCTGACATTACATAATTAAATGCATACAGCCTCAGGCTTAAGTACGTACGCGCTGCGTTTTGCAGTATTAATCAATGAAAGAGCCGCTCTCTCTCTCTCTCTTTCTCTCTCGCGAAGACGGATATGCACCGGCATCAAAAATAGTTTGGACGGTTTAAGATCAAACGCACTTTCTCGAATTTACTTCCACTTCGGTTGCTTTCAATCTTACCGGCTATGAAAACCGAGACGTTTTATAACGCGATCTACCCGCCACGAAAATGCGCTCTATATCTTAGACAAAGCGTGCGAGAATTAATTATACACAAGGGAAGAAGAACGACGAGGCATATTGAAATGATTCTAAATTCTTAGAAAATGTGGAAGAACATATTCTCTTATTAGTGAACAGCTAAAAGATTGATAATAAAAGTAATATGTATAAAAAAATCGTTGTGAATTTAATTTTGCTCATATATCCCTTTCTACGTACAAATTTATTTGCTCCATCCTTTAATCAATCAAATATAAAAATGTCTTATAATTCATATTAAATAAATCTTTTAAAAGAACGTGAAATAATACATATCAAATATATAAAATTTAGATGCGATTATATTTTCAAATTATCTCATATTATCAATGGACAGATGGTTTAGAAGATAAAAGGAACGAGGGAATTTCGAATCAGCGAGAAGATGGGATGAGAAATGTACGCCATGCGGTCCGAGAGAAAACTCGGCACCGGCTTCGATCTGCGCAAGCATGTTGCATGGATGGTCGGGTCTAATGAACGAATGGGGTCTCCGCGTAAAAGAAAACAGAAATAAATAAAAAAGCTCGTCGTCGCTTTTGCGGTCAGTTACTTGCCGCCCACCACGATTTCCTCTCGTCCGGTTTAGTTCATCCAGCAATGCGGTTGAAATCTAAGTAAGAGTAAGTTTACTTTACTTAAAATTAATTATTTTTTCATTAGTTATGTCATCAAAACGAATTTAAAAATAAAATAAAAAATCGTGTTAGAAGAAATTGTCGCGTCCTAATATCTTCATTATACATAGTTTAATATTTTATTCGAATCCTATATAAAAAAATAATAGCTACAGAAATTTCTCTTTTTCAGATACTTAACAATAGCAGTGTGGCGTATAAGAATACAAGAACATCATTAACGATAAGCCACGATAAAAAGATACAGTGAAAATGCTTATTTAGTCCAAAATTAATCAAAAAATATCCAGATAACCTGATAAATTGGATAAATTATGGAAAAAACGAGAAGGACAGAAGTAAAGGTAATGAACTAATTTAATTCGCGATATAAAAGGCAACTATGTTTCAATATAAAAGAACATGTATATATATATATATATACGTCATATGTTTCGATAATGAATGTTTATGATGCTTATCTCTTCTTTCATATACTGCTGTGAATGGGGTTACCGAGTCGCATGATCGATTATCGGCTGTTGGTTTACTACCCTCCTGAGATCTCTCACCCTTTTGACACAATATACGCGGGGACTACCAGATGCTCCCTCGTACGATCGGGAATTCATGATTCATGGTCAATTTAAAAGGATAAGAGGATGTTATAGTACAAATCCACGATTCAAACTAATTTCAAAATTCTTCGTAAATTCCAAATTTTTGCTTGTTTTATCTATTTTTCGTCAAAGATTAAAGAAATTATTTGTTAAATATAAAAATTGATCGAAGATATTATAATTTAAAAAGAAATTAATATAATTCATAATTTTTTCAAACATTACACACACAATTCATAATCTTTCTGTTAGAAAATGCATTGTTAAGTTATAATGTGAATTATATAAAGAGCTGCTGAAAGTTAACACGTGTGAATTGCTGCATTAAAAAAGCAGAGGAAAAAAACGGTATTGGCACCTCTTGGCGCTATCGGCGATGTGAAAAGAAACGAACGTGGCGTATCTGCATAAAAACAGGTGGAAGTCAAACGTAAATCCAATTACGGGATAATCGCATTGCCTCGAGATTCGCACTCGGGCATTCGGGCGAACTATCGAGTGATTAAAAATAATACCCGACAACGCGCGCGGTCGGAAATTCACTCACATATACACGAATGTAAACCCATCCACAAACCACTCCATTTCACGTGAACTCGTAATCTTTTTCTTTCTTTTGCTTCTCTATCGCTGTGTTATATCATATTATTCCGATCTATCGCAAATAGCTACTCGAAATGCGTATAATTAATCGTAAAATAAAGTAAAAATAAATTTGGACTTTCATTTTTTTTTCACACATTTTTGCCTATATGTGAATTTTTTACTAATGTATCTAATGAAATGGCAAGCTCTTTAGTGCGTAATGATACACAGTAAAAAAAGTAGAGCTAATTATATTAATTTATGAATAAGCCTAAGTGTGCATATGGGTCAAACTTATTTTCTTTTTTTTTTCAAAATTGCAAAAATGTCTATATCTGCTATATGTAAGTTATCAATATTTAAAACTTTTAACTCTTCATATCTTTAGATTACTACTCTATTTTATGAATTATTATGGAATAATAAATTTTTTGTCGATAAAATGTGTAGGGAGCTTTTCTATTATAGTAATAGTGAATAAATGTTCCGATTGTAGAAAACTATTGGCTGACATTTCAACAAATGGAAACCGGATGTCGGTAACAACCGGAAAGGATTATTATCGACTATATAGTAGTCGGTAACAGAGAAATTGTACGATACATACAGAAATTTCAGTCGGAAGTAAATTTGCGACACCCGATATAAGCGCACTGCTGTCGTCGGTACAAGACTTACCTTCATTCGTAAGTTACCAGAAAAGATGTTAGTTGCAATACATGTCGGTAAAATCGTATTACAGTTTCCTACTATTCTCTAATAAAGCTTTAAAGCACATATCTTTTAACGTTTCTAGTTACAAGAAAGTGGATGGTATAAAAATGCATATTAAATATTAAGCAAAATTTAGTTGTTTTAAAAAAGCTTGACTGTACCATTAAAACATAACAACTGTTAAGGTACAGATATATCAACAGTCAACATAGTTAATTATAATGATAATATTTGAGCCAAAATTTAAATAGCAAAATAATTGTATAATAGAATGTAGAAAGATTAATATAATTTTACCTATTCTGTAATTATTCACAAAAGACATTTGTATATATATATTTCTTTTCCCGAATATAAGTTATACCATGACACATAGCATATTTTTTCAATTCCGTAGCTTCATATAAAAGCATATCGATAAAAAATAAAAAAGATTAAAGTATTTTATAAGAGATTTAATTATGTTTGTTTTTGCATTTTCCGCGTATTATGGAAAATAATAACTTCTCACCGGGGTATGTTTATTAAATCATTCTTCATTATACTATAATATGTACATTTTTGTACATTCAAATTAATATGTTTGTTGATCAAATCTGATTTAAAATCAGAATACATCGCAAACTTTATTGCATAAATTTCGGCATCCTAAGATAATAGAGTAATAAAAATTTTTCTTAGGTACTCGTAACAAACGAGTCGTACTGCTCAAGAATCAGGAATTATATGTATTATAAAAATATACTGTGGCATAAATAAAATTGGAATAAATTACTATGATGGATAGATAATAAAATAGCATACTTACTATAAATAGTGTAGCAATATATTAAGAAGCCTTATAATAGAAATATAATAAATACTGAATTTCTTCTTTTGTTAAATACAATAATAATTAAAAACAAAAATAAAATAGTTTGTTATATGCAAAACTATACACAAAAAGATTCTTATCTTTGTGCTTAGATTATTGTATTTTCATAATTTTATTTTTATATAATTATAATTTTTTAACTGCTGGTGTATATATATAAATTTTATATTTGGAAATTAAAAAAAAAAGGTTTATAATGAAAGATTTTCTGTAATAATAGCGGAAATACATGTTAAATCAGAAATATAAAACTGAATAAATGCTTATATAAGCATTACAAGAAGCAAAAAAACTAAATAAAGCAACATAATAATTACTGATTAATGTATGTATATATATATATGCAAACTAATAATGTACACAACAAAGAAAAAATTCAGATACGGAATGACCTCATATAAACACTATAACTAATACTCTTCTCTCTTTCTCTCTTTGTGATAAGAATTTTAACATCTTTAGTTAATTAAAAACATGATTTGTTTTTAAAAATTACATTTAATTATAAAAACAAAATAATTAAATAACAGTGCTTCTTTAGCAGTGTTTCAAATATAATAATAATCTATATATGTATATCAAACAAATTGGTGTGTGCATTACTGTATACATATATAATGCTTATGATATTTATTTATATACTATATTCATTTTGTTATAGATATTCGTTTATAGATATAATGTACGTGTGTGTGTGTGTGTGTGATGAATATTAAATTCTAAAAATATATCTCAATTATGCAACACAAGAATACAGTAATTTATAATTTAAAAAGAACAAGATAATAGAGATGTCAAAATATATTTTCTATTGCGTATATGTTTGGTCATTCTGTGGTTAGCAAGAAATATAAGGCAAAATAGAAATAAACAACATAATAAATAAACATACGTGTGTTGGTCGTTACTGCTCGGATACTTCAAACATCCCTCCGCGGGATGCCTCTGTCGGTACGCACCTGTATGTCGCTTTTCAGACTCTCGGAATGTGGTTAGGTCCGCCCTGAAAGCAAATATTACAGAGACACACATTAATTTCAGCGGAAAAATCAATACGTTCCTCCGTATTTCGAGGAACGCTGCGCGTCGTTATTATATTTAGCCATATTGCCATATTCAAAAAGTACCGGCGATCGTGCTTATGTCAGACTATAGCGTGACAGTCGTGTTGACAGCTCGCGACGCGATTTTCTCCGAAAACGACGACGATGACGCGCATGCGAGGAATCCTTCGTCTCGGCGCGATAACGATAAAATAAGAGTAACGCTTCAACGAGTTCGAGCGACGTTCGATCTCGCGCCCACGACATTCGACATATTCGGCATTCTGGCCAACTGTCACAATACTCGAAACGCTCGCAGACGAACGGGTTACTATGGCGACGCTCGTTTATCTACCGGCGCGTCAATGACCGCACATGCGGACGTCGTCGACGTAGTAGAATCGGTAAACAATCTCGATTGTTTACTAGCGTTGCGTCGTCGTGCCTGGAGACGCTCACGCGACATTCGACAATGACAGCGAAACCGCGCGATGGAATTTTTCTAGAACAACGACTCCAGTAACTCGACCCAGCAAAGAGCCATGAATATCGAAAAATGAAAAGAGTGGAAAACTAACTTCGCGAAGTACAGAGAGGTTATATGCGCACCCTGACAAGACTCGGGGACACATGCGACGCACTTCGCTTCGTTGCCCGAATGCGCTCGGGCGATTACCACTTGCTATTTCGAATCACACGCTGACAAGTAGAATCGATTCTCACGACCGATGTCCGAGGATTGCTAAACAAATCGACTGACTAAATAATGCGAAACGACGGAGCAAGTCGCTGACAATGAGAGTTACTGCGCGCAAAGAATGATTGGAAACACTCACCGCGTTTACGGCAATCTTTCCGACACCTCACCGCGCCGCCGTTACATCATAATACACATATGCACGTACACTACCTATTTTCTAGGCACTGATATTAAAAAACTCGTGTAAAATGTATAAAAAAGACAATAGTTAGGAAGCTGCCAAGAGAATTGCCATAGCGATGCCAATACTAGGCGGCCATATTGTCCTACGCCGCATCTTGCGCTATCTGGTGGGCAGTTAGGAAACCTTCGATGAAAAAGGCAGACTAATTCGATCTCTTGTACCGACACAAACTAACATACGCTCTAACCCAATTTAATTTTTCTTCTATTTTGTTTTATGTACCAAGTTTACTACTTGATTCTCTAACAGAAAATCTAGGATATATAAATAAAACAATAATTTAATACAATCAGCGTTAATATATGTCGGTAAAATAGATCACGTCCCTCTCATCGAGAGAATTTCTCAGAACAAATATAATTTTAAAACGTAAAATAAAAATTTTATCGAGTCATTATTCCCATCTAATATGTCAACAAATCTTTAATTGACTCAGATTGTAATGCAAATCAAAATTTAACTGACGTTATTTAAAAGTTATTCTGCATTCACAGAGATGGTCAGAGATGGCTCCACGAATATAGCCCTCAAATATGGTTTAATCCGCTTATAGCTATTTCAACCCATCACTTGGTGCGTTTTTATTTTACGCAAATGCACGCGCGCGATGCTTGTGCTAAAAGTCCCCCATCAAATACGGCAACAATTTTTGCGTGACAAAAGTTTCTACAAAAATAGTCATCTTTTTTTGAGTTTTAAACATAACATACATATAAAATAATGTAGACAGCAACGATAGTACTGTAAAACAAACGGCTATTCATGTTACACTTTCGATAATAGTTTCATCATTATTCTGTTAATTGCTTTGTAGAGAATAATATATTAACTAAGAATATAAGGTAAAGAAAATGTATTTTCAATTTTTTAATCTGGATAATAATTTTCATGCTTTTATGAAAATCGGGATATTATTAACAGAGCGTTTTACAGATATGATGATGGAAACGTCAATTTTTACATTTTACGCAGAGAGAGCTTTCCAAGAATAAAATACGCATTTAAAGTTGATGCGCTCGTAAAATATTTCAGAGAAGAACAAAGAGAGAAGAGTTGGGAAAATGGCGCGCGGGAAGATCTCTAGCTTTGCGACGCGCGTGCAACAAATTGTCGCGTGCAACAAATTGTGAGCATCCACGAGGGTGTGTTCGACGCTAGGAACTTTGCGTTTGTTACAAGACGGAGGAGGCTGGAAGGAGCGAGGATACCATCGCGTTAAGAGTCGTTACGCGAGTTAGGATATCCGCCGCCATACGAACGCGAGTAACTCCTTTAACGAACTCCCAAACGAAGTTCGGCTTCTTACTTCTCCGATTTCAGAGTTACGAGCTCATCTAATTAATATCAAGGATTCCTCGCTCGGAAGATACTTCAAACACGTGCCTTCGCTTTCAGCGGCGAATGTTGTCATCCTTTTTTTTTCTCTCCTCTCTCTTTCTTCTCCTCCCTCTCTCTTTTCCGCGTCGTTCGTTTCTTCACAATTAGAGGGTGGTCCAAAGTTCTTGCCCGTTAGAGAAACTGGTTGAAAGGAATTACTAATTGCTTACTTTCCAACTTGAATTTAAAACTGTTTCAAGTTGGCTCGTTTTCGGTTATCCGGTTACACTCACCGCCAACGGAGCGCGAGTACAGCGCGAGCGAGCAATTAAAATTTAGCTTCGACGCGATATCACGTAATTGACGTGACTTTCCACCACAAAAGGCAGATATAGGCGAAATATAATTTTATTGCGCGGGCGTGTCTAATAACTTATGCTCGCGCTGAACTCAGCCCCCGAAAACTTTGCGCCGGAGATATATTTTCGTTCATCGTCGTAGACGTTATAATAGGAGGAGATTGAGGTTGCGAAGGTGGAGTTTCAAACTCGCATAAATGTGTGCAGCGCAGCGCGGGTCTCCTTCCACGTCTCTGATTACTTCGCAAACTTTGTGCTAGTCGGAAACGATGCAACGGAAGCTTTTAGACACTTGTTTCTGGTGCGTTACGCAATCTCTATAAGCCAGCTTTTTTTAAGAAATACGCAATGGCCAAGAAACCGACTGCCAACAAAATGGATGCAGAATATAACGAACCCATCAACGAGAAATGTTCGTTTATTGTTAAGAAAGAGAGAGAGAGATAGATAGATCGATAGAAGCGAGAAAGAATTATTAAATTTAATAAGATTTTAACTTGTTATAACTCATTTATGATATATAAAATTAACTAAAAGAAGGCGCATATATCGTCGAATTCGTCGATCTGTTTTTTCGTACGGTATAGTTGGCGCGAAGACCACAATTGCAGTCAGCGACCGCATCGCTCGCGTGCATTCGGAATGCAGGTCGGTGCAATTGCGCGGCTCATGTTGCGTGTTCCGTCCCGTCCAATGTATCGCCCGAACAATATAGCACGTCAGCTTTTGTCCGCGCTGTCTGTTTCATTCGCCGTTAATAAAATACCTTTCGAAGGTATTGCATCCTAGGAAGAACGTCTCCTTCGCTATTCGTTGCTCGCGAAACGTTATTCGCAAAGAACACGAGGACACTTGTACGTTCAAGAAGCAGCAAATATCCGACATTTGCATCGCACCGAATGAAAGCAGAAATGTTTATGCGACGGCTTGGGATATGTTATGTCAAAGGTGATTACAGCATTCGAGGAAAAGCACTATATATAATGGATAAAAGCGAGATTGGACGAAAACCAATTTGGCATCTAACTTGGCATAAGTGCTAAAGAATTGAGTAATGAAATAAATATCGAAGCGTTATGTATTTTCGTATCATTCTCCTTCATAGTATTGTTTATATTGTAAGTATTGAACGGCACAATACATGCGTCAGACAATAACAAGCGATTAGATGATTTTTCATCAGAAAGAGAAAAGGGCAGCATTGACGTTCTCATAGGAAATGAAAAGAATGAAACACGTGGAACATAAGTATCACGTGCAATTTCCCACGCATTTTTTCTTCTTTTCCGATATATTTTTTAAAAGGCTTTATAATATAGTTAATAAAATACTTATCTAGTACACAGACTAATACACAGGTGTATTATGTAAAATGATAATACAAAAGTGTATATTAATATTATGCTCTAATGATAATTATAATTAATGCAAAATAATTAATAAACACACACATAAATAATAAATATGTTACAGAGAATAATTATTATAAAATAATCAAATATATAAATTAATGCAAAATAATTAATAAACACACACATAAATAATAAATATGTTACAGAATAATTATTATAAAATAATCAAATATGTGCACACACATTTTTCGACAAATAATAACAATAATTTCGAAACTCAACGAACGCGTCAATTCCGACTATTTATAATCGACTATCGACTTTAATGGTTCGGTACTCGATTATTCGGCCTCCTTCAAACTTGCCTTACATTGTGATAATATTGCGAATTTCACCGAACTGATTTCCCATGGGATAAATCCTGAGTAAAACTGCCATGTCTTACTGGAAATTCGCCGTAAATTTATCGTAAAGGATTAAATTGCGATTTCGCACGATAAATCTTCGATTTTTTGCTTTAATTCGCCTCATAAATGGATCTGAAGATATTTACTAAACCGGTTTCTTCCTTCTCTACAAGTCCTTCTTTTTCTTCTTTGTATTATAGTCTCAGTTTATGTACGAATCTTGTTTTATTGGCGTTATTCTCGAATTAATCGTTAATAAAGAATAAAGAATATAGTAGAAGAAAAATAAAATATTAAAAGAGCAATAAAATTATTTTGCGCGCATATATAACGTGCATATAAAATTATTGTAGTAATTTATCATATAATACAAAGATACATACATTTTAATGCTTGAAAATATAAAGTACGAATATTCAGAGACAAATAAATCGCGATATGCCATCAATGTTACGAATCCCACAGAACAATACGATGTGCGTTACGTGTTCAAAATTTGGACTAGAGTTCTCGGCATTGATCGTAAATCGTCGCAGTGGTGTGTTTCAATTCCCATTACCAAAAGGGGACAGAATGTGCATGTGTAATCCCTTACGAATGTTACATCGCACCCCAAGCAAGATCGGTTTCATTGAAGGGTTGGCTGGAATTGGAAAAGACTGAATCTTCTGGAAATTAAGGAATGATGCCAGATTACTAAATATGTCGTGTTCTAAAAGAAGAGATTTGTATAGCAAAGTGAAATGGAACGTATCTGTAACGGTAGTGTTAAATCATTAAGCTAAATATCTGTGTTATGTAATTTTCGGAAAGATAAACAATCATCAAAACGTCAAAACAAATTAAATATACTTTGTAAAAATTTATTTAAAAATACAAATCTTTAATTTGCAAAAAAGAAGTTGCCTTTATATTTGGATATTTTTATTATTTTTCTATATTTCTATCTATTTATAATTTATTCGTTTAAAGATATTTAAATTCGAAAGAATATTATAATATATCTTTCGCAGCGATCTAAGCTATACACGATTGAGTCAAGATTTGCGGGTACTACACTCGCGAGACGTTTAGGATTCGACGCGGGCTTGGATACGTGAGGAATTACGAAGCTCGCAACTGTTTGAGAATTCATGGCACTGTCTCGTACCGGTAAAGTATCCAGATCACTCGATCGCCAACGGCGAATTCCTAAGAATTCCTTATATCGCTGAAATAACTGGTGTACGTGCCCGAAAGGCGGAAGCGACTTCAATTTCTGTCCCCGAAGAATGAAATCTGGCGCAGAACCACGAGAGAAAAAATTTGCACGCCGCAGAAAGCAGCGGTTTGACCAACATCGCCGGCTTCGCTACGCCAGACAGATAGTCGATATTTCCCGCAGAACATATTTAAGCATGGCATTTAATGGTAACTTTGAATACGTTACACGAGTGACCTTTCTCCGAGGCCGCAAACGCCTATACGCGCATTTGATTTTCTGCACAGGATGCACGGCTGCGCGTATTATCGAGTCAGCTTCCGCGCTATTTACGAAAGGTCAGCCGAGGGATCGAGTCCTTGGTCCTCGGGGGTGAATACGTGAGGGCTCTGCCGGAGTATTGTCGAATTCTCGGGTGCACTGTCCTCACCGTCCCGTTTAGTTGGA